TAAACTGCGCCCTGTTAGATTTTTAATTTTTTTTTTACTTTAGAAGCTTCTATTTTCTGTGTAAACAACGCAATTTTTGAAACAATAATACCAAATAAATATTTGTCGTAAATAAATAATCCCACGATATATAAAATAACAAATATCTATTCTGAGAACTTGATGAACACTTTATATCCCAGTTAATATCTGAGGGTTAAACAAGATATTTCTGTTACTATTATTCCTTCTTCTAGTAGCTAACGTGTTAACGTTATTATGTTCAAATAAAATTAAAGAAATAACATCTTTTGGCCTGCTAATGTTTGCTTGTTTTAAGATTATTTTGCTTTCATATTCTATGTGTACAGAATCAAGAACAAGTCGAGGAGGTTATATTGTTTTTATTTCTGATTATGATCATTGTAATATTATATACTGACATTATCATTGACATCTCATACTTGTGTGGTTGTTTAAACTTCTCATTCTAATTTCTGCCAACAACTTTCTGCTTTTGAGAGTAAATCACATTTCGAAAGCTATTCTTTTCTATTTTTATTTATTCACTCTAAACTTGTTAAAAACTCTTTTGTGTGTCAGTTATTTGCGCTTATTTTATATTAGATGCATTTACAGCTTTAGTGTGTTTTACAGATATTTCCCTCTTTCAGAAAGAATAATAATACTATTTGTTAATATAATAATAAATATTAATATTTTTAATATTAATTATGTTTAGAACATTGGAATTTATTTCAACAGTTTTAGTGGTAGTGTTGCATTCATCAGTCTGGTTGCACATTTTACTTACTGTAGTTGCACACTTTTGTTTTCATGTCATATTCTAAAAGTAGCTCCAACTGGTAAACTGGTATTACATTTTAAATTCTGAAGGATAAGTTGCTACTTGGGGATGAGCGGATAGAATCAGTTCTGGCAAAACAGTCTATTCCAGAGAAAGATCCTATGAACATTGCTGGATTGTTCAGTGAAATGTTGTGTTCAGTACTGTTTATGAGAGCCTCGGAGGCACAGTGATTAGGACACTTACTTGCAGTCTAGTGATCATGCATCTGCTGAGAGGCAAAGAACCAACAGTCTGCATACAAATAAGTCAGATCTATAAAACGGATATGTACGCAACACTCGGGTTCTGGTACAAGTCTAAAGTCCAGAGGTGGATGAACAACCAGAACTTTCCATCAAAGTTTACAGCCGGTGAACACAAAGTAAAAACAAAAAAAAGGAGAAGAAGAATACCCTTAAAGATTATGAGTGACCAGTGTTCCTAGATAAAGAAGAAAAAAAAAAACATTTGGTTGCCTATCCTTTACAGAATATTGCAAAACCAACCCAAGTATTTTTTGTCTGTGGTTTCACTAGGTAATTTTACATTTACTAGTTTGCCATCACTTTCTGAACAGTCAGCTCTAAATACACTGTAGAAACGAACACAAGGTGATCTGCTGCCAAATCACCCACAGCTGGGATCAAACTCAGCACTGCAAAATTACAAAGTGCATTTGCAGCTTCTAAGCCACAGATGTCAAATTAGGGCAGCGCAACCTAAAATAGATACTAGGAAATATCAAAAAATTTGTAAAGAAAATAAAAAAACAAAAATAAAGGACTACATTCAGGCATATTGGGTAGATGAAACTAGCTCCACATTTTTATGGACCAGATATGGGTCATGTGATCAGCAATATGGCAGCCACCTTTATTTCCAAGAGCATTTCCTCTTGATATTTTTCAGCAATATTAAAAGGCATAACACTCTTTTTAAAAAAACCATACTGGAGGGAAAAGTCAATGACATGTGAGTAAAAGGTAGACACAATACAAATGGGAGGACAACATCCAGAAATAGACTAACCTGAATGTGACAGTCTAGTTCAGGTGTAAACATTCTAGAAAGTTTGAAAACACTGTGAATGGTCCATCAAACTGACATTGGTTTATTTGGTGCTCTTGGAAAAGCGAATAAGAGTAGCATTCCTTGGCTATGTTCATTGTTGAGTGCATGGTGCATTTCTTGGAACCAGATATCTCAGGGTAATCATATTTTTTTTCATGTGAGTCAAATATGCCGAAATATCAAAATAATATAATGACCTCTTTCCCCTCCTGTGACAAATGAACAGCACAAGCCAATCAAAATGCAGCCGTAGGTCACTCCTCAAGTGGTGAGTTGCGGGCCACAATGGCTGTATAAGCCCGGTTTCTTATCACTGTATTCACATTTTATTGTATTCATATTTTGTTGTATTCGCATTTTATTATATTCACATTTTATTGTATTCAAATTTTATTGACGGCATTATCCACATATTATTCAGAGACTGAATATTACATATTGTATTTTTTTTAAGCTGGCCTCCATTTTAATTTCTTATCATCAACACAAGTTGAATGCTTCATTCTAAGATGTTATTACTTTAACTCTTTCTATTTCGAGGAGTTTAATAATGTGTTTTTTAAAGTAAGTGATCCGTTTCTTTGCCTTGAGACATGTTGGGTAAATAATGCTAGCTTTGTGTTTTCTATGCCTTGAGACCTGGTTTTTTTTTTTTTTTTTTTAATTTTTTTTTTTTTTATTAAACAGATGGCTCTTGATACGTGATATCATCAATATAATACTGGCCGCCTTTATTTTATTAGAACATTTTAACCATTCTAGATTTGGTCGATCTTTGAAACAAGGTCATGTTTCGCAAAACATCTCTGACACAAGGAATATTTGAACCTCTGGCAGGCATGCTAACCACTGTACCACTACGACTCCTGTAAATAAAAGATCCTGTTTACGCTAGTGACGCATCAGCCATGTGACTGCTCATATTTGTATAGACCAATTGGTTGCATGGATTTGTGCTCCCTGAGTAAGTTCTGATGCCCAATTTGAGCTGTGGGGTGTTGGAGTGGAGGTGGGGGAGGGGGGGGGGGTGGAATAGTCCCACTGCCCCCCTCTCCCTCCACCAAGCATGTCACAGAAGGCAGCTAACCAGGAGTGTTTCCATCGAAGTCAGAGTGCATCTGCCTGAGCGGCGAGGAACCAACACTTCAGTAATGGATGAACAACCAGACTTTCCACCATAGTTAACAACCAGTGAAAGGGAAGATAAAGACAAACAGTCAATTTCTGTCAATAAAAGTGTTTGCAGGATGATGTAGAAAATTCCTGGCCCACCAACTTTGAGAGTCCCTGTGTGGGTCCCGGGGCCCCATTGTGGGGAAACCAGAAAATATCCACTGCCTTCCCAGCAAGCATGTCATAGGAGTTGACTAACTGGGAACTTACATCAAAGTCAGAGTGCATCTGCCCGAGCCGCAAGGAATAACAACTACACAAAAATAATTCAGTAAAACGGATGTACATGCAAAACTCAGGCCCTGGCCCTGTCCAAATGGACAAACAACCAGGACTTTCAGCCGGTGAATAAAGAAGAAGCACTTTCAGATGTCTTGATCCTGTATGCCACCAGGACTTTCAGCCGGTGAACAAAGAAGAAGCACTTTCAGATGTCTTGGCCCTGTATGCCACCAGGACTTTCAGCGGGTGAACAAAGAAGAAGCACTTTCAGATGTCTTGGCCCTGTATGCCACCAGGACTTTCAGCCGGTGAACAAAGAAGAAGCACTTTCAGATTTCTTGATCCTGTCTGTCACCAGGACTTTCAGCCGGTGAAAAAAGAAGAAGCACTTTCAGATTTCTTGATCCTGTATGTCACCAGGACTTTCAGCCGGTGAACAAAGAAGAAGCACTTTCAGATGTCTTGATCCTGTATGCCACCAGGACTTTCAGCCGGTGAACAAAGAAGAAGCACTTTCAGATGTCTTGGCCCTGTATGTCACCAGGACTTTCAGCCGGTGAAAAAAGAAGAAACACTTTCAGATTTCTTGATCCTGTATGCCACCAGGACTTTCAGCCGGTGAACAAAGAAGAAGCACTTTCAGATGTCTTGGCCCTGTATGCCACCAGGACTTTCAGCCGGTGAACAAAGAAGAAGCACTTTCAGATGTCTTGGCCCTGTATGTCACCAGGACGTTCAGCCGATGAACAAAGAAGAAGCACTTTCAGATGTCTTGACCCTGTATGCCACCTACACCTCAAGGCAATGGGGGGCCCTTTCATTATATTTTTAGCACACGATAACATGACACAACTCTCATGTTTCTCACTTATATCATGTTGGATGTTTTCTAATTTATGTTTAGTTTAATTTGTTCTTCTTTTATTATAGTGGGATTGGGATAATAATAATACTATATACACTGAGTAAATCTGCATTATAAAGTTAAAAAAAAAAATTCAATCACACTGGTTTGAAATAAATAAGATAATTTTTGGCATAAGGAGTTAAAGTAGCAGAAATGGTGAATATACAGGGTTAAGTAATAAGTATGTGTCCTGTAGAGTTAATGAACATTTATTAACACCTTTCCATCCTTTTAGAAAATAGTGTTGTACTCTGCTATAGCAGAGGAGGCACAAGACTTTGAAATTTAGAAATTTTTAAAATTTACTCCAACCAAATGTAGAAATAAGAAAACCCATGACAAGATGGCTGGGATATATGGGGAAGAACCCATGTCACATTGAGATAGTTACAGCAGTAACTATGAATCTGTTGAAGTTATTCTTATAACTTCCTATGATCAGCTTGAGTTAAAATTATTAACATTTATGAGTTAAAAATATTTAGAGCAAAAATGAGTGCATGTAATCATTCGGGTAAAGTGAGTTCATGTAACAGAATAATGTAACAAATTGATGCTGAAGAAGTAAATTACATAAATATTTAAACAAAGAGTTTAAATAATGTTTGAAGCTGAGGTAAACTTGTGTAACAGTTATGAGATTATCCTGTGAACCTAACTTTACTAACACCGTTTTTCTCTGCAGTTTATATTTGCCGTGGTTTTAATTAATTTTTGTGTTTTTTGTGTGTGTGCGGTTTGTTTGCCTAATTTGTTTGTAAATTTGAATTTCCCTTTCAATGTGATGGTGACCTTGAGGTGGCGTCACCCTTAAAGCTGCTGCAAAAATGGTTGCTCATGGTAACACCAAACAAACAACTGTGGCTTGTATATAACATATTTATGTTACTCAGGCTGTAACTAATATGCATGTATGCTCATAACATGTGACTAATATCTAAAGTTGTTTATGGCAGCATGATCGTTAGGCAGTACAACAGTAAAAAAACAATTATGTTTGTTGTTTTTCGGTGTTATGTATTGGTTTGTATTCTAATAATTTGTTTCAGTTGTTTCTGTAAAGATAACCTTCATTAGTGATCCTGATTCCTAATTTTTAAGTTGTTCATGTGGCATGTTTTGCTGGAGATTATCATTATCATATTGCAGGCTCTCGTCAGAATCTTTCTGCTCTACTTCATGAATCCCATATCATAGGTCCACCCTCATGCTGGTCAACCCCTGCTCCTCTCTCAGGAACCAGACCTTCTGTGACTGTTTTCTCTGTGGCAGAAGTATTTCAGTGTCTTCTTACATTAGAAGATCTTTTAGACCGTTAGCATTTTTTTTTCCTTGATCTTCTTGCTATGTATATGGTGTATCAGTCTGTCAGGCAGCAGAGGTTGCACTGACAGAGAAACAGAGCTAAACTAGAAAGAACCATATGGCAAATCCCACTTTCATCTGTTGTTCTCACTGCTTCAGAATTCCCTGGCCAAGACTGGACTCATTAGTCATCTTCATACTGACAGTCATTGATCATTACCACTTTTGGATGCCGAGTTGCCTTCGTCACTTGTGATGGATAACAAACACTAATGTAGCAGTACTACCACTAGAATGTGTTATGTTAGGACTTCACAGATTCTTATCATGACAAACTGAGGTGGTTGACAATGTAACAAAAATTTTATGCATATGTATGAACACAACATAGTTTGATTTCTTAAAATAAGCTTAACAGAGTAGAAGTAATGTTAATTCTGAGCAGAGATTTCTGCTTCATTCATATGCTTATTTGTATTCCAGGCACAGCCAGCAGCTTTTGTCTCGTATCAGTTTGGCTAACTCATTGTTCATTACAGCCACTGTCTCAGATGTTATCCCTATTTGCACATGTGCTCATCAGTTGTCTGTATTTTGTTCATCTGATGTCTGTATTTTGTTCATCTGATGTCTGTATTTTGCTTATCTATTGTCTGTATTTTGTTTATCTGATGTCTGTATTTGGCTTATCTGATGTCTGTATTTTGCTTATCTGATGTCTGTATTTTGTTCATCTGATGTCTGTATTTTGCTTATCTGATGTCTGTATTTTGCCTATCTGATGTCTGTATTTTGTTTATCTGATGTCTGTATTTTGCTTATCTGATGTCTGTATTTTGCTTATCTGATGTCTGTATTTTGCTTATCTGATGTCTGTATTTTGCTTATCTGATGTCTGTATTTTGTTTATCTGATGTCTGTATTTTGCTTATCTGATGTCTGTATTTTGCCTATCTGATGTCTGTATTTTGCTTATCTGATGTCTGTATTTTGCTTATCTGATGTCTGTATTTTGCCTATCTGATGTCTGTATTTTGTTTATCTGATGTCTGTATTTTGTTTATCTGATGTCTGTATTTGGCTTATCTGATGTCTGTATTTGGCTTATCTGATGTCTGTATTTTGCCTATCTTATGTCTGTATTTTGCTTATCTGATGTCTGTATTTTGCCTATCTTATGTCTGTATTTTGCTTATCTGATGTCTGTATTTTGCTTATCTGATGTCTGTATTTTGCCTATCTGATGTCTGTATTTGGCTTATCTGATGTCTGTATTTGGCTTATCTGTTGTCTGTCTTTTGCTTATCTGTTGTCTGTATTTTGCTTATCTGATACCTTTGCACCATCAGCGTTTAAATGAATATTTTAACGCCGTACTTGAGTTTGAAAAGGAAATGTAGCTATAACTTCTGCTTCTTCTTTGTTCACTGGCTGTACACTCTAGCCGTAGGTCCTGGTTGTTCGTCCATTAGGGCTTTGGCTTTGAGCCAGGGCCTTAGTTTTGCGTGTGCATCCATTTTACTGGCTTATTTGTGCTCACTTGGTTGTAACTTGCGGCTCGGTAGATGCACTCCGACTTTGAAGTTAGCTCCCAATTAGTCGACATGTTTGTTGTGGAGACAGTGGGTCTATCCTTGTTTTCCCCACAATGGGGCCTCGACAACCACACAGGGGCAGCTGTAACTCTGCTTCTTCTTAGCGTTCACAAACTGTAAACTCCGGCAGAAAGTTCTAGTCGTGCATCCACTTCTGGGTTTTGATCTTATTCCAGAACTTGAGTTTTGCATGCACATCCGTTTCACAGGTCTGGCTTATTTGTATGCAGACTGTTAGTTCCTCACCTCTTAGGCAGATGCACTCTGACATAAAAGGAAACATCTCTAATTATTTATTTTGTACAACCACCTTGTTAGGTGGCAGTGGATCTGTTCATCTCTTTATTTAATCTAGGGTTTCAATGATTATTGTCTATCTAGTTTACTTTACTTTACTTTATTTAATCTTATGTTGAAATGAATATTGTCTAGTATAATTTAGTTTTCTTTATTTAATCTAGTGTTGAAATGATTATTGTCTAGTCTACTTTAGTTTACTTTATTAAATCTAGTGTTGAAATGATCATTGTCTAGTCTACTTTAGTTTACTTTATTTAATCTAGTGTTGAAATGAATAGTTTGATCTACTATAGTTTACTTTATTTAATGTAGAGTTGAAATGATTAACGTCAAGTCTACTTTAGTTTACTTTATTTAATCAAGTGTTGAAATGGTTATTGTCTAGTCTACTTTAGTTTACTTTATATTTAATCAAGTGTTGAAATGGTTATTATCTAGTCTACTATAGTTTACTTTATATTTAATCTAGTTTTGAAATGATCATTGTATAGTCTACTTTAGTTTACTTTATTTAATCTAGTGTTGAAATGATTAACGTCAAGTCTACTTTAGTTTACTTTTTTTTAATATAGTGTTGAAATGAATATTGTCTGAACTATTTTAGTTTATTTATCATTATGATGAAATAACTTGTAGCTACTCAAATTTAAACTATTTAGCACTTATCGGAGTGTCCCGAGTGCTGTGATGTCAGTTCTTATTTAAAAATTCAACAACATTCAAATTATTTAGCATAAAGAAATCTACAAAAATTGATAGTATATGGAAAAAAAAAACAAGTTTTTAATGTTTCTATTATTTTAGCTAGTGGTGTGTCTTCTCAGTGCAGCGGATGAAAAGCAAGTTCAGATATCTGTGAGAAATTGAATAGAGACAAAAACTTATTATTTCATTGATTTAAGAACGGAAGGCATAGGTGGATGTGTTAATAATAACAAAATAATAATAATCATCATCACCACTTTCCACTTTTTGTGTGTGTGTGTGTGTGAGCATCATGGGGATGAATAATTTGCAATCCATTGCTTGATGGGTAACAATGTAGAAGGTCTTTCATGCCATCAGTCCATCTTATCCTAGAGCATCGTCTGCCGAGTTCGAAGTTTCAATTACAAATTTCCTAAAAGAGACAGAGGTGGAAACAATAATTGATAAGCAATCAAAAGTTGAACTGAAATATGAACTTGGGGGTGGGGAGGGGGGGGGGGGCTGATCTGTGTTTAAAACAGAACTAACCTAGAGCCATTTTGGTTAATTACTATTTATTACTCCACAAAAGTGGTAAATAAAAGCAGAACAAAAGTTTTTAGACCGGTTGTTACATGTTAAAATTAGGGCTATCAATTTCAATTCCTTCACCAACTCCTCTACTTATTCCTCCACTTATTTCTCTACTTATTCCTCCACTTTTTCCTCCACTTATTCCTCTACTTATTCCTCCACTTATTCCTCTACTTATTCCTCCACTTATTCCTCTACCTATTCCTCCACTTATTCCTCTACTTATTCCTCTACTTATTCCTCCACTTATTCCTCTACTTATTCCTCCACTTATTCCTCTACTTATTCCTCCACTTATTCCTCTACTTATTCCTCCACTTATTCCTCTACTTATTCCTCCACTTATTCCTCCACTTATTCCTCTACTTATTCCTCCACTTATTCCTCCATTTATTCCTCTACTTATTCCTCCACTTATTCCTCTACTTATTCCTCTTCCTCCTCATACATCCAGAACAGGGAAATGTGCTACATTGTGTCTGTTTTAATGAGATGTGATAGCTGCAGTGGCTAGCATACTTGACTACTGTTCTCGTGGATATATGTTCAAATCCCCATCAAGGCAGATTTTAAAAATTGACCTGGCTTCTAGGTTTACTAAAATAGGTACCAGGAAAGTTGGGGGAAGTAAAGATAATTAATGAGATATTTACCACCTCACTCAACAAGTGCCAACTGATTTATACAAACATAAAGCTTCCTCTTCTTGTGATCTCTGTCTGATTTACACAGACAGGGGTCTGATTTACACTGTCGGGGGTGTGATTTACACCCACAGACATCTGATTTACACCCACAAGCGAGTTCTTGTGATAAAATAATAATTTTTTTGAGTTCTCTTTTAGCTGCGCGCAGCTTTGTGTATATTATTGATTTATTGGGCCTGTATTCCCTTCCTAAAAATGGGCTGTACCACGGATAGACTTGCAGGTTATGTTCTGCAGTTTGCACACAGAGCCCACATGGGCACAGTGGCGTACTACTTAGATGAAGCCTGTGCATTTGCTTGTCGTGTTTGTTATGTCCTGTCCTGAGCAATAGAATAATGACCTGCCCGTGCCTGTCAAGTTTGTTATGCCCTGTCCTGAGCAATAGAATAATGACCTGCCCGTGCCTCTCAAGTTTGTTATGCCCTGTGCTGAGCAATAGAATAATGACCTGCCCGAGCCAGTCAAGTAAGTGCTAATCATCGCTGGCCATATTCTGTTCTCTTCTTATAGACTGGGTGGCCCTCTTTTCTCAACATGATATGGTCTGAATTAAAGTTTCTAGTGCTCTTTTATTATTGAAGTAAAAATTCATGACTCCGAGTCAAAATTGAATGTTAAACAAAATTTTGATTCTTCTTTGCAATTGGTAGGTTCAATCTTTCTGTCACTCCATGGTCATGATGCAGTTGTTGATACTTTTGGTGCCACTTTGTCTTATGAATTGATCAAACCATGCGTACCCACCTTCAGTTTTAATTTGATTTTCAGCTTTTAATTACAAGTCAGATTTATTAGATTCGATGCTGTTTTATTTTAACAGATGCATTGCTAATTTATGTTGTCTGTTGCTTTTATTGTATCATTTCATTCAGTAGCAGATAGCAGATTTAGGTTTTTTTTTTTTTAACCCTAAGAAGTGTGCTGTTAAACTTACTTGCTATGTATTCGTTTTTGTGTGGTATAGTTTTGCATAGAAGTTGTCTCACTGTAATATTTTAAAAGTCTCGACTGCTATTGTGGGTCATTGCTAAAAAATGAACATAAAAATCAATAATGAAGTTTTTTTTAAAAAGATGTTTCTGTACGAATTTAGAAAAATAAGTACATAAGGTGGTCAAGTGGTTAGTGGATTTGCCAGTCAAGACGATGGTCTAAGTTCAATTGCCAGCACAGGCAGGATCAATTTTTTTGTTTCAAACCAGTATGTCAGTGGAGCCACCATGACTTGATAAACATGTGTTACCTGTCAACCTTTAGTTTTCTTGGAAGGGAACAGGCCAGCCTGGAACATTTCACACTCAAATGGCTGTAAACAGAACGAGACTGTCTGGATTTTGTTGTTTTAAACTGATAAGCATTTCATAAAAATCATTATGAGCTGAAAAGTGAAACTGTTATATTCTTCAGCGAATTATATATATATATATATATATATATATATATATATATATATATATATATATATATATATATATATATATATATATATAAATATATATATATATATATATATATATTGAAATTTATCTGATAAATTGATACCACCCTAAAAACATCAAAGTCATACCCATGTGAGATGCAATATAAATATATATAAGGGAGGTCTCCATGGCAAGTTATCGAGCCATTTGCTTCACACTCTGAAGGTCATAGGTTCACTACACGGCTGCGTCATGCAGTTTACGAGACCAACTGTTACGGAAATCTTTGGGGATCATTGTCAGAGCTTTGGAGTTCATGCTTTGTGCGATACTCTTGACAGGCAGCTAGCCATTTTATGGAGAAAGACCAAGCCATTTAGGATAAAAACCCAGTGCAATAAAGTCAATTCTCTTACCTGTTTTTTCCTTGTTTTATTTTGTAAAAAAACATTTTTGTTTTTATATCTATTTGTAATGTCTGATTAACAAAATGACAAAAACAGTTTAGAAATCAGAACTCATCTGAAACAAAATACATTTAAGTGCCCTAGGGAAGATTCTGGCGCATCTTTATGCTCAATAAAGTGCACTAACCATGGCTTCTGTGAAAATCATACACATTATAGTGAACTTGGAGCCAGGTTTTTTTTCAAAAATGACCTTGACTCCCAGGTCGACCCAGTCTTGAGTGGGTACCGGGTGCAGTCCTGGGAAGTAAAGGCGGCTGGTGTGATGCTGATCTAAATGCCCTATAGGCGTGGAAAAGGGTCCTTTACTTTGTTTTTATAGTGAGCTCACAATGGCCCTTATAAAATATTGTGCACATTAAAGTGCACTAACTGGAATTGCTGTAAAACTGTACATCAACCGTAGCTCCCAGGAAACAGATTACATTTAAGTACATTCATGATAGCACTTACAAAATGTAGTGCACATTATAAAATGCATTAATCAGGGTTGTTGCAAAACAGTAAACATTCTAATTTCTGTAAAACATTGCTTATTAAGGTGCGCCAAACAGGGTTCCTCTCTGAAACAACGGTGCACATTGGAGTGCAATAACAAGGACTCCTAATGGTGTACGTTGTTGTATTGAAGTTCTTGTAATAATGTATTTAAATTGTTCTTGTAACATTGTCTCAACAATTTCTGACAAAGCATCAACAATTTCTCGACAGCCTCCAATTCTGTTGATCTGACAAAAACTGCACTGAAATCTAAAGATAAGAAGAAAGACAAAGGAAGACTACCCAGTGAACAGGAGGTTGGTTTATATGTTGTCAGCCAGTATCTTGAGTATAAAACCTGCTACATGTGTTTTTTTTTTTTATATGTTAGATAACAAATCGTGATGACAAAGTTACAGAAAGGGTCTGAAGTGTTTAATTTCCATATTTGCCATGATACACTTTGTGAAAGTAAACATTTCCCATCATGCTTTTACTTCTCAGACAGTTCCTAGAAATTTCTCTAATAAATTGATACCACCCTAAAAATATCGAAGTCGGCCCCATGTGGAATACAATTTTTTTGTTTGAAGCCCCACGCTGGCTTCTGCCAGGGGTCCTGAATATTGCCGGGGCATAGAAATAGCCTAGCCATAGATATGGTTTAATGGCTGAAAAGGGTTTCTGGAACCTCTCCACGGGTGATCCTCATCCGCATGGTGGCACTTTGTGTCACTGGGTGATTATCGCTTGTGTGATGTCCTGGTGGGGTACAACTACCTACCTACCTGAAACCACCCATATTGGGAGCCACCATGGTGCAGCGGCTAGATGCTCACCTGCAGATCTGAAAGTGGTGGATTTAGGTCCTGACTCAGCCCCTTTTTTAAAAATGACCTTGGCTTCCAGTCGGCCCCGTCTTTAATGGGTATCAGGTAAAGTCCTGGGAAGTAAAGGTGGCTGGTGTGATGTTGACCAGATGACCCAGTCTTTGATGGGTACCAGATAAAGTCCTGGGAAGTAAAGGTGGCTGGTGTGATGTTGACCAGATGACCCAGTCTTTGATGGGTACCAGGTAAAGTCCTGGGAAGTAAAGGTGGCTGGTGTGATGTTGACCAGATGACCCAGTCTTTGATGGGTACCAGGTAAAGTCCTGGGAAGTAAAGGTGGCTGATGTGATGTTGACCAGATCACCCACCAAGTTTCGACTGCTCTGTAAAATGTAGGTCTAGCCCTATATGCCCAGTGCGCCTGAAGGTGTGGAAAAGGGTCCTTTACATGTTTTTTAAAACTACCCATCTGCATTGGATTGTAGACTAAGTTGTAACTGTGTTATAAGGTCAATCAGGGTGTCTGGGATTTGCTGCTGTTTAAAAAGTGGCTCTTTGAGTCACTGGGTATCAGTCTTAGACTGAAATCCCAGAGGGACCAGATTTTAAAACAAAAACATTCAAATATGTGAATACGATAAAGCTGGCAAATGCAGTCACATTGGCTCATGATTATTCAGTCACTGATATTTATTCCTAGTCATTTTTTAGGTTTATTGATTTTATCCAATGTCATGCAGGCTACAGTCACTCATATGTTTGAAATTGTCTTGGTGTATAGTACATTATGAGCATAATATGAAAATATGTCACTTGTGCCTTCGTGAAATTGCCTGCTTTTGTCCTACCAATAACATATGTGGGTTGTTTTTTGGCCATGTTTTACCAGATTACTGAGTCAGGGGTGAGAGCTTTGTTTTTTTTTTTTTGTTTAGGTTTTTGTTTATCTTGTTTTGAAATAGAGAAGAAAAATTTTTTCATGTACATAGATTTAATTTTGGGCTATTTAACGCTTTTTCATTTTACTGTTGTTTGTGTTACTAAAACTAGTTTCACTGTGTCTTTGCTTTTTTTTTATGCACCATTTCTTATTCTGCGTTTTTAAATGTTGACATGATTATTTCATCTTCTGCTTACATAGAAGTTTAAAATATTCATTTTTTTTTTTAAATTGTGTTTTTTAAACATTTCAGCCATCACTACATAGAGTATACCTCAACAGTATGTGTGTGTGGGTAAATGTGTGTGTGGATGAATGTGTGTGTGTGGGTGAATATGTGTGTGTGCATCAATGTGTGTGTGGGTGAATGTGTGTGTGTGTGGGTGAATGTGTGTGTGGGTAAATGTGTGTGTGGGTAAATGTGTGTGTGGGTAAATGTGTGTGTGGGTAAATGAGTGTGTGGGTAAATGTGTGTGTGGGTAAATGTGTGTGTGAGTTAATGTGTGTGTGACAAAGAGAGTGAGAGAGAGATATATTTTATTATTTACATATATAGTTCACCTTACAATATATTGCAGAGTAAGCTCCCTTTCACTAACTCTTTCATTGCTGGAAAGTCTTTCAGACATTCACAGTTGGAAATAACCACTGTGACAAATCACAAAGGTTTGTCTTTCAAAGAGGCTAAAAATCACAGTGAGAGCAGCAAGCGTGGATAGACTGGTTGGTTCTGCACCACTTGGTGGTGAACTGATTTATGACAAGCTGGATGTTGTGAGGGCCCTTTGGGTGCGAGTGAACAGTGCTGAGGTACAGATAGATCATTACGGTCTGGGGAGAATGGCACTGCGAGGAGTTACAAGGGCATCTGGCCGACGCTCGACGCTCAGGGGAGGGGCAAGAGGGATATACAATCAGACTGTTATGGTGCCATCGGAATTTTAACTCTTCGCTTGCTGCTGAAGATGGGGACGGAGCGCTTATGGGAGTGTCCCGAGTGCTGTGATGTTGATTCTTAATTCAACATTTAACATTCAACATTCTACACAGTAGTGACTTCCTGTCTAATCTAGTTATCTTTTTTTCTCAACAAGGTCTCTTCATTCTGTAGAAGTGAAGTGGTAAAATTGTGGATTTCTTTTATGCATTTTATTTGAATTATTTACTTATTGTTTTAACTCATTCAGTATGTAGTTTCTGGTTAACCATGGAGAGACACATTCTGGAAAACATACAAATCTATAAAAATTTAAACATTCTGTCAAATTTGTACATACAGAATGAGTTAACTTAATCATTAGTTGTTTTTATTTTATGACATGCAAAATCATATTGAGAATTACAAACTAAACCAAACTTATTAAAAGCTTTTAAAAAATAAAAAAATTGTTTTTTGTGTTCTGAGACGTGAATGGACAAGTGGTTAGTTTACGGGCCTGTCAACCTTCAGACCTCAGGTCCCACTCTCAGTAAAGTCAAGAAGTGGTATATGTCGAAGGATGAATACAAACTGTAGCTTGCAAACTGCACATCAACTGGCCTGGGGCAAGTGATCTTTCATCCTCAGACCTTCAGAATATTCCTGGCAAGAACTGCAACAGTCAGGTGTTATTACGATTTTCTGCCTGTTTGGTTTGGGTTGAGGTTAGGGAGGGGGGGGGGGGGGGCTGAAATACATGTGACTGTTACTTTGGATACAATTTAAATATTTTTCTTTGAATTATGATTTGTTGCAACTTGTTTTCAAAAGTGCTTGTAATGAGACAATAGTATATCTAATGATATTTTTGTTACCAAACTAATTTAGTTATCCTTATCTCAGCATGACCTCTCTTTCCTGTTCAATGAATTGGTAACTTGTTGTTTTCCTTTTTTTTTTTTTGTGTGTGTGCATTTTTTCGTTTGTTTACTTGTAGTTTTAACCAATTCATTGTATAGTGTTTTAAATGCCTGAGTAGAAATATGCAACCTAAAGTATTTTGTTTTAATTTGTAAATTGTCTTTATTTCTTTCATATTTTTCTTTTTGACCTGTGTGGCTTAAGAAACTAGAAAACATTGTTTACTAGAAAAATATTCAGTCTGGTTTTTAATTACACCAAGTAAACTAGGACAGAAATGGCGTCATGTCTCAGAAACTGAAATGATTCTCTTTCTTAAAAAAAGTTTTTTTTTTAATTGGCTTTCCATTACAGGTTGTTGCAAAACAAACCCCTATCACGTTTTTGCTGTTTGGTAATTTTAAGTTCATTAGTTTGCCATTGCTTTATTATCAGTTGGCTCTTATTACAGTTGTCAAAAACAATGTAAGGCAGTCTGCTGCCAAATCACACATAACTGGAATCAAATTGGATACGTTAGAATTACAAAGCGCGTTCGCAACATTTTTCACAGAAACTGACGCTGAAATGATTAGGCCAGATTACATAGTGCATTGGTCTTGAAAAAAAACAATAATGGACAGCAGGATTTCTGGGAGAGGCGAGGGTCAAGCAGCAGACATTGGAGACAGCCGCAGGCGTGAAAATGCCTGAGATAAGTGACTTGGACAGGGCAGAGAGTCCTTCTAGTGGGTTGTCATGGAAACAGTTTTCTGCAGAAGACCTGGTGTATGATGGGAGTCATACGTATAAGTTTGATGATTCTGCAAATATGTATTTGCATGAATCAAGTTAAGTAGCCATGGAATATAAATTTACATAAATGCAGATATATTAACTTTGCAGATATGCACTTGCATATCATTCACACTGTCAGTATAAATTTGTTAAAGAAAGCCCCTCAAAAAGAAACCCCATTAATTTAAGTCTAACCTTTCACAGTCCATGGTGAATGCACTAGCTATGCAGCCCAAAATCTTCAGGATCAAAGATGACACCCCCACCTCCCACCACAAGCCTACACAGCACAAATGGTAAAAATAGACACCGGCTGTAAGCTCTGGCAGAAAGTTCTGGGTGTTTGTCCACCTCTGGACTTTAGTCTTGTTCCAGAACCTGAGTGTTGTGTGCACACCAGTTTCACAGTTCTGGCTTATTTGTATGCAGATTCTTGGTTCCTTGCCTCTTAGGCAAATGTGCTCTGATTTCGAAGGATACCCCCAATAAGTCGACTCCTATGAAGGTTTGTTGAGGAGGCAGTGGATCTATTCTAGTTGACCCCACAATGGGACCCCGAAACCTACACAGGGATCAATAGTAACGGCAGTTTAATGACAGTGAGGGCTTCTTCATTGCAGGATTTGATAAACCCTTGCATCTTCCACGTGTAGAAAACACTGCAACAGTGAAAGTTGTATTGTGTAAATACTTCAGCTTCTGTTGTTACTTTCTTGTGTTCCTAGACAGACCCTCTACAGGATCAGATCAGTCCGCTGCTAGAAGACACCTGCTTCATTGATGGCCAGTCTTGGCTGTCCGGCAACAGGATGTTGATTAACCTGAACTTGTCAAGTAAGTTGATCTAGCAGACTGTTTTGCATTGATCTGCATTTCTTCTTCTTCTTCGCACTTACCGGCTGTAAAATCTTGTGGAAAGTTCTGGTTGTTCATCCACTTCTGGACTTTGTTCTTGTTTCAGGACCTGAGTTATGCATGCACATTTATTTTTAACAGATCCAACTTTTTTGTATGCAGACTGTAAGTTCCTGACCTCTCAGGTGTGAGAGATGGGCTCCGACCTTGAAGGAAACATCAAGCATCTCTGAGTTGGTCAGGCTTCCGGTTGTGAGCCTACCAATAGATGACCACGGGGAGATGGAGCCAGATCTTGACCTGTTTAAGTCCTGGTGCACCATCATGTGTGGTTCAGCACCTCTGAATCCCACATGAGGTGACCACACCTCACTACCTGCCTCTTATGGCATGAATGGTTACAAAGTTACATCTGTGCAGACCACTTAAGGCAATCTCAGATGTGGCAAATTTCCATTGTGAAGAATAACCTGTCCATCCCCGGGCAAATTAACTTGCTTGAACTCTTACCCTGGATAAGGGAAATTTCTGATAAGAAGAAGAATTTCATTTGTCCTAGTGAGTTCTCGTTATCAGGTCTACGCTGTATTGTTTGCTTCCCTTCTGGCTCTCATAAGACAGACACAGGTGGTCTCAGTTTCCTGGGTACCAATATTGCTCTTTGCCTTCCAGGAAACAACATTGGAGAAGTTGGTATGGCTGCCCTACTGAAGGCCGTCCAGTACCAGACAACATTAACTTTTGACAACAAAAGCTTCGGCTCTGGCCTTTTGAGACTGAATGTCTATGTAAGTTTCTTATCTGTTACCTGCCTGTTTTATAAATGTCGTTCTCAGTCTACCCCTTTATCTGTTCCCCAGTATTGAGTCATCCAGTACTGTTTAGTGTTTAGATTTTTTAGGTTGTCAGTATTTTTTTCTTCTTTGTCCATGGAACTCCGACTCTACAAGAGCATAATTTTGCCAATTCTTCTTTATGGAGCGGAATGCTGGAGAATGACCAAAAAGGATGCACACAAGCTGTCCGCCTTCCACCACACATGTCTACGTAGAATTATCAAAATTTTCTGGCCAGATACAATCTCAAACACTAAACTACTTCAGGTCACAAACCAAGAAACTTTAGACAGTATGATAACCAAGAGAAGATGGAAATGGCTTGGCCACGTTATGCTTTTTTTGTGTGTGTGCTGAGTGATTCTTTGAGCATGATCTGATGGGGCAAGGCAGGCTCCATACGCAGACATGGATTGCAGTTACCTTTATATTTTTCCCAGGGTATGTAGGTGTCGCTGGCAGTGAAAGAGCCGATAGATTAGCAAGTTCTGCATTAATTGCAGAAGGCGAAGGCTGGCCTCTGGATCACGCTGACATTGTTATTGTCCTTAGAGAGATAAGACATTCCAAGGATATTAGAAACATGTCTACATCACTGTTGAGAACACAAGAATTTGGGGTAAAGATCTGCACAGCCAAGCATGCAAGGCACACCAAATGCACAAAAAGTCTTGTCAACCAGCATTGGACTGGCACTAATAATTGCACAACGCTGATGAATCTGTTGAGCGGGGGCAAAGGGGGGGGGGAGTCTGAGCACCTACGGGTGTGTCAGAGTCCTGTGAAGATAATCCAACTCATAACTCATTGTATTATAGAAAGGTATAGAAACCACAGTCTGTGACTAGCAAGGTGCACTTGTGTTAGTTTCCAAGACCAATTAAAGCCAGGGATGAACCACCAGTGCTTTATTAATATCCTACCTCAGATGATGTCACAGGACAGTTTTAGAGGGTGGTAAGATTGGGTTTTCTGGCTTTTGAATGCTTTTAAAAACCACAAACATGGCCTGTTTGTAATTCATCCCATTTAATGTTCATCCAGTCCAGCACCCTTGGCCTCTCACAAATATTCACTTTTGGGTTTCTCTTCTCCATGCTGCTGTAATGTTCAAATCTTATCAGCTTTATCTCGGAAGGGTCAAACAAATCTTTGTGCTTTGTGCAACTGGCCCTCACCCCAACCCACCTACATCCCACAACTGCATGCAGGTAAGGTTCCACTACTGCATGCAGTGAATCTAACACCCCCTGAAATATTAGACTGTCCCGTGACCTAGGGATTTCCCCTGTTTGGGGTAAGATATTAATAAAGCACCAAAGTTCCTCCTCACCATGGCACCAAGCTAGAGAAGTATTTTTGAGACCAGGTGTCGCTCACAACCGGAATAGTATCTGCATATGAAACTGAACTGTTAGTGTCAACACTTATGTTATTTACTCGTAAGTTCTACTCACAACACTTTACAGCTTTGACTTAACTTTTCCACCATAAAATAGGACATATCCTTGACATCACAGTTGGCCAGCATTTGTTCATGGCTGAACTTGTATTTCTATTTCCAGAAGAATGCAGTCCCTGCAGACAACGAGATTGTGACTAAATTAAACAATCTGATGGCGACCAAGGACCCATTCTACAAACCTTCAGATGCAGCATTATAGAGGAACTTGTTCTACTCTGTTACTCATGTACGGGCACTGTCCTTCAGAGCTAAAAGCTGTGAACTTCAGAAAGTTAATAAATCTGCAATAAATATTATATATAAGTGTGTGTGTTTTTAAATATTATCATGTGGAAGAACTTTCGCTGAATGTTGTTGTCATCATGACCTGCAAGAAAAGACAATCTTTGACCAGTTTTTTGGACCTGAGCATTTTCATGCCAGGTTGTCCTATGTCCATCTTTGTTTTGTTCAATCTTCACCCTCTTTTTCCTCAGAACATGCCTTCCATTACTGTTCTTTCTAAGCCACTGTGATATTAAATATAACAAGTATTTTAGTTTATTTTAATCCTTATATACATCATCATGTGCCACATATGACCCCTTTTAAAGGACCCTTTTCCAGGCTTTGAGGCGTATGGGCATATAGGGATAGATCTATATTTTGTAGACTAATCGGCACTCGGTGGGTGATGTGGTCAAAATCACACTGGCCACCTTTACTTCCTACGACTTTACCTGGTACCCATTTAAGGCTGGGTCAACCTGAGAGCCAAGGTCATTTCTGGAAAAAGTCCGGCATTGTCAGAACCTGATCCTGAAATAGAAGAACACACCTTTATTATTATATATATATTTGTAACCATAAAAAAACATAGTTTTATATGGATCTTTTTTTTCTTCATTCGCCATTGAAAGTGCAGTTTGGCACACTGTGTTGTGGTCCACAGCTAGGCTGCAGTATCTACACTTTTCAACCCAAAACAATAAATTTAAACAAACACTGAATTCCTCATCTTTCAAGACATACTTGTCCAGGTGCATTGTCTATTTTTTTTTCCTCCCATAATGAGAGCCTGGTACCCAAATGAAGAGTTTTTTTTTTTAATGAATTTGAACCTGACAGGCGATAAACCAACAGTCTTCATACAAATAACCCACGGAGGAACGTCGCTGTAGCTACAGAGCTGTGTGCCGATGGCGACACAGGCGGACAATTCTTATCAGCTGTCCATACTGATGGCAGAGCACTTATGGTTTATAACCGTGTGCAATGACGCTGGTTCACATCTCCTGACTTTACCTTTTACCTTTACAAATAACCGAGACATGTAAAACATATGGTTAGGTTAGTTGCGAATCCTTTACAGGACATTGCAGAACCAACACCAACAGTCCCTGGCTGTTGTGTGGTTTCTTTAGGCATATTTACGTCCAGTAGTTTGCCATTGCTTTCTGGACGGTCGGCTTTCTTGATACCACTGTCGAAACCAACGCAAGGTGCAAGGCCCGCAGCTGGGATCGAACCCGGCATCCCGGCACTACGAAACGTTTGCATCGACTTAGCCACAGAGCCGATGTAAAACAGATTGGCATGCAAAAATCCAGTTCTGAAACAAGATTCAAGTCCAGACGTGAACAAATAATCATAATTTTCCACTGAAAGTTACAGCAGGTGAACGTGAAAAAGAAGAAAAAAAAAGATAATTAGGAAATAAGAGCTGACTGGAACAGAAAAAAAAGTTAGCACAGATCTTATTAACTTTATCTTAGCAGACATCACAAATTGCTAAACAATAGAGTTTCTTCTTGTTATTATAACCCAGTTGAACTTGAAAGTGAACTACAGTTTTCAAAATGCCATTAACCCAGTTGAACTCAAAAGTGGACTAAGGTTTTTTAAATCTTATTTATCTTGACCGCCCAAATTTGCGCTGCACTTATCATTAAATCTCACCTAGTTGTAATAGATAACAGATCTAGGCACAAGTTCTCTCATTTTGTTGTTTTGTGATGTATTTCATGCCCATGTTTTGTTGGGTTTTTTTTTTATTTGCCTAAGACGATTGTAGATGGATGATGAGAACACAGTCGGTAGATAAAATGAGTAATGAAATCTTGAAAGAAATTAAATCATGAAGAGAATTTATTACCTACAACAAAAGGAGACAACCTACATTCTTTGGCTACTTCATGGGGAGAAATGATCATCTATGTCAGAAATGTTTGAATGTACACGAGACAGAAGTCTGGATGGACAAAGACTTAAAGTAGACAAAGAAGAAGAAGAAGCATCAGCAGTGGTGGTGATGGCGGCAGCAGCAGCAAAAGAAAAAGAGGAGGAGGAGGAAGAAGAAGAAGAAGAAGAAGGGGAGGAGGAGGAGCAGGAGGAGGAAGAAGAAGAAGAAGAAAAAGAAGAAGAAGAAGAAGAAGCTTCATAATAAAGTAGCTCACCACCCAGAAGGGCGTCAGTAGTCAACATATCAGTCTGCTCACTACCCCACACATACGAATATCCTGGACAGAAATGCTACGCTATGATCTAGACTAGTCCTAAGTTTTATCAAGTGATGCAAGCCACTTTACACATAGGACGCCAGTCTCAATTTTCTAAAGTATGCTCTGTAAGTTCATTACAAGTCGAGCTATACTGCTATCCAACCATTTGAAGGCTGCATTACTGCCTCCACTCCCATTCTCATACTGGATGTTGTGACATTATACATGGACGTGAATTTTTATTGATCACCTCTTGCACCGCTGACTGTTTCACCAGCTATCCATTACCGGCATCCTTGGTCCAAAGCAACTATCACTCTGTGCAAGGCTGTTTTTCTGGGCGACACTGTGATCTATTCCTTACCATGCACAATGTTGCCAGTAGTACACAAGTTTCTTATAGTGTCTTCTGTCTGTGCCTTACAAGACTACCTCTGTTCAGTCGGTGTCTCTTGCTAACCCTTAAAGTCTCATGTTGAGTTGAGTCAAGAATTGACATCACAGCACTCGGGGCATTCCCATGTGTGCTCCGTCCTCATCTTTAGCAGCCAACACAGTTCCAATACCGATGGTACCGGTCACAATCTGGTTGTATGTCTGTCTTGCTTTTCCTCTGAGTATAGTGAGCCGGCCAGACCCTTTGGTTACACCCAGGTGCCTCATTCTCTCCAGGTCATAATAACTTTCTCTACTGATTTAGTTGCTTGTTCCCAAGGGGACTTGACCACATCTGCCTTGTCATGTATCAATTCACCACCCAGTGGTGCAGATCCAGCCAATCTGCCTGTTCATTACCGACTACACTGGCATAGCCTGAAGAAAATATCCAAATTGTGCTCACTACCCGTGACCTTCCCAGTGAAGACCTACGAGCTTTTGAAGCCTTGACTTTACTGGATGTGGAGATCAACACTGAACATGGCAGATGATCGCTTCCGTGATCGCCCAGAACTTGCCTTATGCAGAAGATGATGACTGTTCCTTGCGACTGTCCCAGTAGAACACTGGTTGTACGTACATCAGACTGTTCCTCTCATCTGTCTTTCCTTGGTGTATCCACTTTTATTTATTATCACAGAATTATATGAGTGCTTAGAATCAGCAGGTCGCTGATTAATTATGGGACAGTTCTAGAAATTACTGACATATAAATAACAGGCAATCATGTTTCTGTGTTAGACTTTTGTGTGTGTTGTCTAGTTGCAAATGCAGCATTTGTGTTGACTTGTGTGTGTTGTCTAGTTGCAAGTGCCATATTTGTGTTGACTTGTTTGTGTTGTCTAGTTGCAAGTGCCGTATTTGTGTTGACTTGTGTGTGTTGTCTAGTTGCACGTGCCGTATTTGTGTTGACTTGTGTGTGTTGTCTAGTTGCACGTGCCATATTTGTGTTGACTTGTTTGTGTTGTCTAGTTGCACGTGCCGTATTTGTGTTGACTTGTTTGTGTTGTCTAGTTGCACGTGCCGTATTTGTGTTGACTTGTGTGTGTTGTCTAGTTGCAAGTGCCGTATTTGTGTTGACTTGTGTGTGTTGTCTAGTTGCACGTGCCGTATTTGTGTTGACTTGTGTGTGTTGTCTAGTTGCAAGTACCGTATTTGTGTTGACTTGTTTGTGTTGTCTAGTTGCAAGTGCCATATTTGTGTTGACTTGTGTGTGTTGTCTAAACTTCTGGGTTTGTGCTTTGTGCAATGCTCTTGTGGGTACAGTCAGACAAAGCTATATAAGATAAAACAATGCAGTGAAGTTAATCATATCACATTTAAACACCCTCGCTTTAGCTGAACAAGAACACACAATATTTGCAAAAAACACACACACACACACACTTCTTCTCCTCGTTCTGTTCTCTACCTCCCAGCATCAGAACAATAGAGATCTCTGGAACAAGGCCTTCTGTTCGCTCAGCATGTAGTACTTTTCAGTGTCTCTGATATTTCTGCGGCCCATCTTCTGCTTGGTTGATCTTTAGGTCTGTTATTTGTTATCTGTATAACACTGTTCTCTGTGGTGCCCTGTCTGCTGCCAGTTTTGTTATTTGGCCAAACCATTTGATCTGTTGATTACATTCACGCATAGCACATAGACAACATTCACAAATAAACAATATAGCACATAGACAACATTCACAAATAAACAATATAGCACATAGACAACATTCACAAATAAGCAATATAGTACATGGACAACATTCACAAATAAACAATATAGCACACAGACAACATTCACAAATAAACAATATAGCACATAGACAACATTCACAAATAAACAATATAGCACGTAGACAACATTCACAAATAAACAATATAGCACATAGACAACATTCACAAATAAACAATATAGCACACAGACAACATTCACAAATAAACAATATAGCACATAGACAACATTCACAAATAAACAATATAGCACATAGACAACATTCACAAATAAGCAATATAGTACATGGACAACATTCACAAATAAACAATATAGCACACAGACAACATTCACAAATAAACAATATAGCACATAGACAACATTCACAAATAAACAATATAGCACATAGACAACATTCACAAATAAACAATACAGCACATAGACAACATTCACAAATAAACAATATAGCACATAGACAACATTCACAAATAAACAATATAGCACATAGACAACATTCACAAATAAACAATATAGCACATAAACAACATTCACAAATAAATAATAAAGCACACAGACAACATACTC